CAAGAGGTAGAAGCCCATATCCGAAAGGTGGTAACAGAGGGAGGTCAAAGTCTAGAGGCCGCCACCAATTAACAAAGAACCAATGTGCATTCTGCAAGGAGCAGGGACATTGGAAGAGAGACTGCCCGAAGCTCAAAGAGAATGAGAATAGCAAGAAAAAGGGCCCGAAGGCCAATGAGGTGAACATTGCGAAAGGCGATGATTCCGATGATTCGTGCTTTTCTCTACTGATTACTCCGGAGGTGAACCATGTGGATGCATCAGATTGGATGCTTGATTCCGGCGCTACCTTTCATGTGACCCCTAGGCGAGACTGGTTTGCATCTTTTGAGAAAGTCGACGGGGGCGTTGTTGTCATGAGAAATGATCAATCCTGTGACGTTTGTGGGATAGGTACCGTGCGGATTAGGATGCACGATGGAGTAGTCCGTGAGTTAAAGGAGGTGAGATTTGTTCCTCAATTGAAGAAAAATCTTATCTCAGTTGGAGCTTTGGAGGCGAAGGGATTCAAGGTGACTTTCGAAAACGCTGTAGCGAAGGTTACTAAGGGATCATTGGTGGTGATGAGGGGAGTCCGCAATCGGAATTTGTATTATCTGAAGGGAAGCACCGAGATTGGCCAGGTTGCTTCGGCTATTTCAGAAGCGGACATGAGCAGACTTTGGCACTATAGATTGGGGCACACAGGTGAAAAGTCACTGCAGGCATTGTGCAAGCAGGGGCTATTGAAGGGAGCCAAGAGTGGGAAGATTGAGTTCTGTAAGCACTGTGTTCTTGGCAAAAAGACGAAGGTGAAGTTCGAGACTGCCATTCATCAGACGAGGGGCATCCTGGATTACGTTCACACAGATGTTTGGGGTCCCACCAAGACTGCATCACTTGGTAGTCGACATTGGTTCGTCACTTTTGTAGATGACTATTCTAGGCGTTGTTGGGTGTACACCATGACGAAGAAGAGTGAAGTCCTAGATTTGTTTGTGGAGTGGAAAAAGAGATTGGAACTGCAGACTGGGAGAAAGATCAAGACGTTGCGATCCGACAACGGTGGTGAGTATACTTCTGACCCCTTTCAGCAGCTATGTCGAGACGAGGGCATAGAGAGACACTTCACAGTTAGTCATACACCGCAGCAAAATGGGGTGGCAGAGAGGTTGAATCGGTCTTTACTGGAGAAGATCCGATGCTTATTGTCGCAGAGTGGTTTGGAGAAGATCTTTTGGGCTGAGGCACTTACATATGCGAGCCACCTCATTAATAGGCTGCCTTCATCTGCGATTGAGGGGAAAACCCCTATGGAGATGTGGTCGGGAAAGCCAGCACATGACTATGACCAGCTCAAGGTATTCGGGTGCCCTGCATATTATCATGTTAGAACTGATAAATTGGAACCTCGAGCTAGGAAGGCTATATTTGTGGGATTCAAGCGTGGTGTCAAGGGATACAAGCTTTGGGATCCAGTGGATAAGAAGATTGTGCTGAGTAGGGATGTCACATTCGATGAGGCTTCTATCTTGAAGCTTCCCAGCTCTCATCAGGTGGAGAGCAACCCGACAGAGGAGATATCACAGGTGGTGGAGATCGATGCAGCTCCACATTGTCCAGATGGTACAGTATCCATGCAGGTGCCGACTGAGGTGACGCCAGGCGAGCACGACGATGACACGGAGGATACGAGTACAAATGTGCAGGATCAGGAACCGACGGCTCAGGTTCAGGATTCTATTGCGGCTAGGAGACAGAGGAGAAACATACAGATGCCAGCACGGTATGCCGACACAGTTGCGTATGCACTTCCGGTGGAGAGTATCGATGAGTTAGTGCCTACTACATTCAGAGAGGCCGAGCAGAGTTCGGAGGCTGATTCGTGGCAGGTGGCTATGCAGGAGGAGATGGAATCTCTTCATAAGAACGATACATGGGAGCTTGTTGAGCTTCCAAAGGGGCGGAAGGCAATTGGTTGCAAGTGGGTATACACGAAGAAGGAGGGCATTGAAGGCACTCCGTTGAGATTCAAGGCTAGGTTGGTTGCGAAGGGCTATGCACAGGAGGAAGGTATTGACTATAATGAGGTTTTCTCTCCGGTGGTGAAGCATTCTTCGATTCGGATTTTGCTAGCTTTGGTGGCACAGTATGGTTTAGAGTTAGATCAGTTGGATGTGAAGACGGCATTTCTTCATGGTGATCTTGATGAAGAAATATATATGACTCAGCCATTGGGATTCCGAGCTGCAGGGAAAGATAAGTTGGTTTGCAAACTGAAGAAATCGCTATACGGTTTGAAGCAGTCTCCTCGACAGTGGTATAGGCGATTCGATGGTTTTATGCTTGGTCATTCGTACACTCGGAGCCAGTTTGATCCTTGCGTATATTTTCGCAAGTTGAAAGGAGGTGCGTATATTTATTTGTTGCTCTATGTCGATGACATGTTGGTTGCCTCTATTTCCAGGTCGGCTATAGATGAGTTGAAAGTTCAGCTTTCAAATGAGTTTGAGATGAAGGAATTGGGCGAGGCGAAGCGCATTTTAGGGATGGAGATCGGCAGAGACAAGAAAAATGGCAGAATTTGTTTGACACAGGTGGCTTATTTGAAGAAAGTTCTACAGCGATTCCATGTTAGCATGGATACGAAGCCAGTTAGTGTACCATTGGGAGCCCATTTGAAGCTTTCAGCTGGTCTTTCACCGAAGTCAGTTGAAGATCGTGAGTTGATGTCGAAGACTCCATATGCGAGCGCGGTTGGGAGCTTGATGTACGCGATGGTATGTACGAGGCCAGATTTGTCACAGGCGGTAAGTATTGTTGAATATCATTTCTCCATGATAATGTTTTGATGATAACAATTTATATTTTGTGTGCACTAACTTTCATATGCAGATTTCAATATCAGAATATGTACAAGTGCAAGTGAATATCAAGGCATTTTGAAGTGAAGAAAATGAAGAACAAAAGATAATGTATTTGAATTTTTCTTTGCTTAGAATATTTGTACAAGCCTTGATCACACACACGCACACACACACATTTTTAGAATACACTAACACAGGCTTAGTGTGTTGGTTAACTATAGAAATCCCCTATGTTAACCATTAGAATAATAGTTAAAACTTAATTATAAAAACTCATTATTTCTGAATTTTTGATCTTAATAGTCGACTAATTAGGATAGTAGTCGATTACTCATGTATATAACTCAAATACAAGTTTCTGTCTTTTTACAGTATAGTCGACTAATAGAGATTATAGTCGACTACTGAGATGTTTGACAGAAACATAAGTTTCTGTCTTTTTACAGTGTAGTCGACTAATGACTACAGTAGTCGACTACTGAAGAAAAATATAAATTTTCAAGTTTCTGTCTGAACTCAGTGTAGTCGACTAATTATCATTATAGTCGACTACTGAGAACATTTTCCGAAAACACAGAGTCTGTCTGAACTCAGTGTAGTCGACTAATGACTACAGTAGTCGACTACAAGAGACAGTTTTTCAGTTTTCAGAATTTGAATATCTGACAGTTTTTGGCCGTTTTTAAACGTTTTCAAACTTTAAAAACTTGTCTTTTCAAGGGGTATATATAGGTTATTTGTTCAGTCTTGTTTTGGGTTCTCGACTTATTGTAGATTGAGTTCGTACTGGACACAACAAGTGGGATATTTGGTTGCTTTGGTATCGGCTCAGTTTTGGAAAAACTTCACCGAGGTGGAGAATTGTGAAGTGTGGGACCTACCCACGTGACGTGAAGCAGCATTTGAGAATGCGGTTTTGATTATTTCCGCATGAGCCTTCTTTTTGTTTCCTGGACAATAACCGGCCCACCCGAATACATATGCAACTATATATATATTGATGTTTTTGGTGTCTAGGTTTTCGTGCGAGTTGGGTTTGTTTTGTCGGCTTGGGATTTCTTCGGCAAGCAGGAGGTTTCGTTTTGTTTTGTGACTGCGGAACAGAGGCGCAGATCACGGAAGTTTGGCGGCTGCAGGTTGGGAGTTTTGCGGCTGCGGGAAAATTTGCTGCAGGAGATTTAAGTGCAGGCTTTTGTGTTTCTTTCTTTTGTGAGAGATATTTGTGAGGGATTTGAGAGTTTGTTTGAGGGTTTAGTTTGAGAGTGATTGTAAACCCTAGTTGTATTCTCTCCCTCTATTAGTAGATCTCCCCCTTCCTTGCCCCGTGGACGTAGGCAATTTGCCGAACCACGTTAAAATTGGTTGTACTGCTTTTGTGTGATTTGTAATAGCTTTTAGGGTCTCTCGACAGGTCAGTCCTAGAACTGATGAGAGGAAGAGCCGATATCTCACTTGGTTGAGATATCCGCTTCAGATTCTTGTCTCCTTGGTGAGACGGGAATTCTTATTGCGATCTGACTCTCTTGTTGTGCTGCCGAAGTGCTGTCGAAATTTCCGCTGCGCGCAACATAAATCACTGTAGCATTATTACTGTAGCACATGTGGGGGAGCCGTAGTGGTTTAAAAAATGCTGTAGCATTCAAAAAATATACTGTAGCACTTACACAATTGTATTTAAATATAGAATTACTGTAGCAGAAATAAAAAAACGGAGGTCATGCTTTGCACGGGGTGCACAATAGTAGTATAGGAGACAGAACTCGGCACATACATGCCTATAAAACTCTTCTTTAAATATAATGAAAAAAGTTCATTTACAACTTATGCATTAAATTACATAAGTTATGGAATCTTATTTTAATTAATAATTAATAGTTAGTAATTTAAAAAACAAAATGGGAATTATGAAAATTGAAAGAGGCATTAATATAGGCATTCAAAATTTTCAGTACCCATATTCTCTTTTATAAACGGTATAGACTGTATAAATTTTTATGCGATGTCTAATAACCCATTCTCAAATTAAAGTACTAGACTCGAGGATGATTGGATCAAGATTGACCCGAATGAGATTTAAAAACTAGCCTAGCCTAAATAAAGAATGCGCGCCTATTGCCTGAAGTATATATATGAAGCAGCATATACTAGGATTGATTAAAAACCAAAATCAAAAAAATTCTAATTATAAGAACACCTTACTTTCATACAATCTGTGCTCGCTTTTATTCACTGAACATACATAACATGCGTACATAATCAATCTACAACAGAATCGACCACAACTTTATTAACTCCGCATGTACGCATAAGGCACAACTCGAATAATGAAATTCGCAGCACGGGCACACGTCTTCTAGGGGCACTTGTGGCGGCCTCCGTGGGTGTGGGTGGTCATGTTGGCGTAGCACGGGCACACGTCTTCGTTGCCCGAGGTGCCCGGAGGGACGCAGCTGCACCTCCGGCAGCAGGTGTTGCAGGCCCTGATGCACATCTTGTGCCTCGAGGCCTTGCTGCATCTGTACTCGCATTTCGACCCGCAATCTGCACATACACACACACACGTACGTGATGCGTACATATATAGATTCATGCGAAAGCCTGTGAAGTTATTTACCTATTGCTTGCACCCCAACAACTCCTCGTCCAGTGAAGATACCCGTCTGCGCGTGCACAGCATGTACATAATCAGATACGGCCAGCTATTAGAAAATAAAACCATATATATATACGTTTTCTCTCTTAATTTCTAATGAAGAAAATCAAAGTATTCGATCACAAAGTTAACATAGATTAAACACAGGAGGAGGAAGAGCGCCTGTCGAAATCATGCGCGTGGACTCACATCGACCAAAAGAACAAAGAGAAGAACCGCAAGCAACAATTTAGCCTTAGCCATATTAATTTGAGGAGGAAGGAGATCAGCTCAATTTAAGCCTTAATTAGGACGTCCGTTTCTTCGTAAGCACACGCTGTTTACGTGCGCAACGTTTCGTGCTGGTATTTATACAGGCCAACGTTGGTGTGAAGCCACCACACGCAGGAGAATTTGTGGTTTTTTGTCGGGTCATATTTTTCGTGCGGAGTCTTTTGCACCGTGGTTTTTAGCTGGACTGCTGGAATTTGGAGGTTGAGGTTTTCGTTTTGGACACTCAACGTTGGGTTTGAACGCCGACGGCTACGATCGAATTTTATTTAAGGGTGTTGCTACAAGGACCCAAATAGGGGACCCAAGGCATGGGACAGGTGATGTGTCACCATCCGGTTGCATGATGCACTGTTCATGACATGGGGTAGGTGAGTTGTCACCATCCGGTTGCATGATGCACTGTTCATCATGCAACCGGATGGTGACACCTCACATGTCTCATGCCTTGGGTCCCCTATTCGGATCCCTGAGGCATTAATGTTTATTTAATTAGAAGGAAAAGTGACTTTGAATATCTCGAAAGAAATTAATTTTAAAATCAAGAAGAATGAGGAAGTTTAAAGGAAATCACAACTGAGAAATTACTCATGCTAACAATAATACCCAAGAGAAAAAAAAGAGAGAGATTAATTTTCTTCAAGAATAGAAATTGCCAACATTATATGTTCTTGTTTGCGTGGTTATTTGTTTTCTATGTTTTTCATTAGGGTGCTTGGAATACTTCGGCCAAATTCTAACAATTGGTATCAGAACTTTTTCGGATATATCTAATATTATCCTTCTCGTTGGGCTGTACTTTACGAAAGAGGGAGGTTAAAATGGCAAGAAAATAGGCTTAAGTAAGTGGAGGTATTATAAAGTGGTCACTTTAGAAAACTCTAGGAAAGTAAATAGGTTTAAGTAGTGGAGGTATTATAAAGTGATCAGTCTAGAAAACTCTAGGAAAGTAGTGGAATAAAGAAATGTTGATAACATTAGACAAAAATGACAACTAGAGGAATCTATTCCATTCTAGAGGCTAAAAATCGTCGAACTTCCCATGCCTTCAGTTTAGAAAAGTCGTAGGTCTCTAAAATCTTTTAACATCTAGAAATTAATTAAATCTCCATAAAGAAATATCCTTGGTGGGAACAAAAAATAAAAAAAATAAAAAAATTTACTAGGACGTATTATTTGAAAATCGTGCTAGTTCGCATAAGTTGACTGAGATGAAGAAAGCTCTTGTCTTTCGTTTCTTTATATAGCCTTCTAAGTTTTAATTTTTTAAAGTCCTTCACTTGTATTTTTAGTCTTGGGATGGTTCCTTGGTTCCCACCATTAGCAAAATAGTTTGGTTGTTTCAATTTAAACTTTCTATTATTAATAATGGTTAAATTATCAGATTGATATTTTTTATACACTCCTTCAGTTAGATTTTTTTTAGCTTCAGCAATGTTTCAGAATTTGTTCTGAGCCAAATGTGTAATAAGACTCGTAACTCTGCCGACAACAAAATAAACCGCGAAACCTCTTTCTTCCTAGCAGTTTTTGGCGTCTCACGCGCTCTTCACTATATTTGGAGGTAATACCATGTCTTTCTCTTCTTCCTCCCAAAACTTACTTCCTCGTATCGGACTCAACCTTCTCGCTTAAATTTGGGCATAATTATTTTTGAATTTTTCCTTACGAAAGTACTAATAACATCGCATGAGGTTCCAATACTTTTTTTTCTCTCCGATGGTGGTGAAATTACGAGTTTAATTGCACATTGGCTCATAAGAAAATACCAAATCGTCGCCAGAGCTAAAACATACCAAATTGGTAATTAAGAGGGATGTACAAAAGATACTAATCTAGCAATTTAGCCTATGTAATATCCGATCATCAAAGGACTTCTGTTCATTTATCTAAGGAACAACCTTCAGGCACTTTAACTAGTACTCATTCCCAATAATAATCAGAGTGTCATCCTCATGTAATATTTGTTAGGGAATTTCAGTCTCCCCGCCTACCAAGATATGCGCAACTCGGAAGCCAACCCACAATCAATAAGATAGAACAATCACAATCAAGAAAAAAAAAACACCGAGATTTACGTGGTTCGGTCGACCAACTTCGACCTACGTCCACGGGGCAACAATACGAGTGGTTCGGTCGACCAACTTCGACCTACGTCCACGGGGCAACAATACGAGAAATTCACTATGTATTAGGAAGAACTACAAGAGGAACCATCGACCTACGTCCACGGGGCAACAATACGAGAAATTCACTATGTATTAGGAAGAACTACAAGAGGAACCGCTCAACTCTCGTCTGTCAATCTCTCAACCTCACATACGTCATCAACTATCATATTCTCTCCAAAGCTCACTCCTTGTAATCTTTTGTACGGATAAAGACTACGAAACCCTCTCTCTCTCTCATCTACTACATCTCTACTTTTTCTTCATGTTTTTTCCTCCACCAATAGAAGAATATATATAGGGAAACCAAAACCCTATCTCTAGCCTAACTTCCTAATTAGAATAAGATTCAAACTCCTAATCATGATAAAGCTTTCTAGGGCAACACGAACAATAACTCGAACTAAACCACAAACAATATGCAAACCACAATCACAGCAAGAACACACAATTTACGTGGTTCGGCAAGTTGCCTACGTCCACGGGGCAAGGAGGGGGGGAGTTCTTTCTACTAGAAATCAAGAGAATACAAATAGGGTTACAAATCTCTCAGACCAAACCCTAAAACAAAACTCTAGATCTCTCAAAGCTCTCTCACAATTGGATGCAATGATTCTCTCTCTTTGGCTGCTCAAATTCGTCCAACCTCTACCCTAAACAAACAGGTTTAGGTATATATAGAACTTACAAAACGAATCGGGTCGAAAACCTGAAAGCTCAGCCCAAAACAGCGTCGGTCGACCGGACCGGTCGACCGCGATCAATTCCGGTCGACCGGCCCGGTCAACCGACCAGCTCTCAGTAGAAAACCCAAACTCCAGAGAACCGTCGGTCGACCGATCTCCTTGTGCACGAATGCGGTCGACCGGACCGGTCGACCGCCGCCTGGTTTGCCTGATTCTTCTGAGTTTCTGTAATTTCTCCAATTCTCCACCTCGGCGAATGTTTCCACCAAAAAACTGAGCCGACACTAAATCATCCAATAGTTCCTCAACAAATCCAGGAACAATACTCGAGCTGAAACGCGATCTTCCCCCCCATTGAATCAACTGATCAAACCGGCTGCATCTGAAAGACTGCCTACGTATCCTCTTGCCCAAGGAATCAAGCCGAACGTAGTTCACCCAAATGGCCGCCAACGGCCTCAGCACTGAAGGATGTTCAACAACTTCAAACAATGACCAAATTTCACTCCTGAAACAACTTTGGTCAACATATCTGCAGGGTTGTCATTTGTGTGGACCTTCTCCAATATGACATCTCCATCATCCAAGACGTCCCGTACAAAGTGGAATCTGACGTCGATGTGCTTCGTGCGCGCATGATAAACCTGATTCTTCACCAAATAGATAGCCGACATACTATCACAATATATCCGAATAGTCTCCTGAGTGATCCCCAAGTCCTCTAATAATCCACGCAACCATAAAGCCTCCTTAATAGCTTCAGTAACTGCCATATACTCTGCCTCTGTAGTAGAGAGAGCCACTGTGGACTGAAGCGTGCAACGCCAACATACAGGTGCACCTGCCAATGTAAAAGCATAACCTGACGTAGACCGGCGTTTGTCAAGATCTCCAGCATAGTCTGAATCCACATATCCAATACAAGCCTGCCCATCCTTCTCATCCTTCTGAAATACTAAACCAACATCCACGGTGCCTCGAACATACCGTAGAATCCACTTCACGGCCTCCCAGTGACCCTTCCCCGGGTCGTGCATGTATCTCGATACCATGCTCACGGCCTGTGACAAATCTGGCCTCGTACACACCATCGCATACATCAAGCTACCTACTGCACTGGCATATGGGACCTTCGACATATAATCTCTGTCCTCAACTGAAACAGGTGACATCAACGCTGAAAGCTTGAAGTGGGGAGCCAATGGTGTGCTAACTGCTTTTGCATTGCCATCAAAGCTGAATTTCTTCAACATCTTCTGCAAGTAACTCCTCTGTGTAAGCTTCAATTTCCCCTTCACCCTGTCTCGCTCGATCTCCATACCCAATATCTTCTTTGCCTCTCCAAGATCCTTCATCTCAAACTCGGATGATAACTCCTCTTTCAGCTTTCGAATAGCCGAAGAATTCCTGGAAGCAATAAGCATATCATCAACATATAAAAGCAAATATATGAGCTCACCATCCTGTAGCTTGTGCATATAAACACATGGGTCATATGGGCTCCTCGTGTACCCTCGGCCAATCATAAAGCCGTCGAATCTCTTATACCACTGTCTTGGTGACTGCTTCAAACCATAAAGAGACTTCTTTAGCTTACAAACCAAATCTTCCTTTCCTGCAGCTTTAAAACCCTGTGGTTGTGTCATGTAGATCTCCTCATCTAAATCACCGTGTAGAAAGGCTGTCTTCACATCCATCTGGACCAAATCCAAATCCAACTGTGCCACCAACGCCAATAAAATTCTAATCGACGAATGCTTCACAACGGGTGAAAATACCTCGTTGTAATCAATGCCCTCAAGCTGTGCATATCCCTTGGCAACTAATCTGGCTTTGAACCGAATGTCCCCAATAGAAGATCCCTCCTTCTTCGCATATACCCACTTGCAACCAATAGCTTTCTTACCCTTAGGTAGATGTGCAAGTGTCCAAGTGTCGTTCTTCTGAAGAGACCGCATCTCCTCCTCCATAGCTTCCCTCCACCTGATCGAATCGGGGCTAGACTCTGCCTCCCTGAATGTGGCTGGAACCATATCATCAACGACCTCCACTGATAATGCATATGCGACCATGACATCATTATACCTAGCTGGCCGACGAATCTCTCTCCTCGGTCTATCTGCTGCAATGGTCCTCTGAACATGACCCTGTTCCTGAGTCCCATGATCTACTGTATCCTGTATCTGC